ATATATATATATATATCTTCCACATTAAAATTTCCCTTCTAAACCAAGCTCTGATAATCATTCATAAGATAACACCATGATAATCTTGATATCCCAATTGCCCACGAGAAAGGCAAAATAACAACAAAAGAATGTATGAAATGCCCTACTAATGAATATCTTCTTTGTTTAAGGCTTTTTATAATGAACATGGAACTGACCCGACACTAGTTGACCCAACCCGAACCCGAACCCAACCCATTTTTACAAACGGGTAAAGTATTTCAACCGAGACTCAAACCCCATAGGTTGTCGGGTTTGCACGACCAGACCAGCGGACACATTTTTAATCGGGCGTGTGCAAGTCATGATCAAATATTCATTAATAATCGTATTGTACGATTATCATCGTATAGGATGATCAACATAGAGCTTGTTGGATGAACATCAGTTCGCCCTAGATGATTAGCGAATTGATTGAACTAATTGTATTGTACTATTATACATCATACATTATGATTAGAGACATAATAAAACTAATTGTATTGTATAACTATTCATCAAACATTATTATTAGAAGATGATAAATGAATTAATCATACTGTATGATCAAAGTTATTAATTTAAAATTTAGGGTTTTTTTAGATCCCACTTTATAAACTCAATATCAGAGAGAAAGAGGTGAGAGAGTTTGAGTATTCAGAGATATTTTCTTATGAGAGAGAGTTTTGGAGAGTGACCACATCACAAGGGAGAGAGAGGAGGAGAGGTTGAGGGAGAATTTGCCTTAAGGGAGTCAAGGGGTGTGTGGGGATTTATACGGTTTCTCAGATTAGCCTATACCTTGGGTCATCCTGTTATGTTTGGCGGAGCTCTTTGACAAGATCTCTAGGAAGAAAAATCTTTGGGTGAAAGACTTGCTAGCTGAGGAGGCTAGGGATCAACATCTCCATTGAGCGAGAGCCAGAAGGAGGGAGAACATCTTCTCCATAAGAAGGAGCTGAAGGATGGAGTGGAGTCTCCGTAGCAAGGAGAAAAAGGAGGGATCAACATCTCCCCTAGAGAGCTAAAAGAGGGACGACGACATATCCATC